ATTATTATTATTATTATTATTATTATTATTATTATTATTATTATTATTATTATTATTATTATTATTATTCTCACCTGTGCAAAGACACCCTTTGCATTCGAACCATGCTGTTTTACGCCATTTTTCTCATCAACAGTATTGTACTTTGTGTTAGTATTGTTGTTTTCTATGTCTTCACAAACATCCTGGACTATGTTCATTTCCACAGAATCAACGGGATGATAACCGAGCATGGAATCGCGTTCTCCGCTACAGTCAAGGTGATCGACAAAAGTGTATAGATAACGTGTATTAATCATGTTTATGCTTTCAGAAAAGAATAAAGATATTTAAATTTGTCTAACGCGTGACGTAGAAAATGACAGATGAGTTTAACATAAATTTAAATTATAGAAATTACAAAATTTAAATGAGAACATTAATTAAAATGGAATGTTAACAACATTCCTCGTTTATTGAAAACGAATGCGAGTCAAGTTAAATTGAATAATTATTCAATTAAAACGATGAAGAAGTGGTCTGAAATGATCTGAGAAATGTAGCTAGGCAGAAGTCACCCTAGAGTTTAGAGTGTCTTCCAGAGCCAAGTTTTAATACTATGTACATAATTACCTTTCTGGTGGCGCCATGTTGAAATAGGTCTAATCGAATTCCAAATGTCAACTCAATTAGTTCTGACAAACTCTTCGCCAGTGTCACCACTCTTACGGTTTAACGACTCTATCCGAATTTTATACGTCCTTTCTATATTTCATTAGTCTTCTGTGTTTAGAGTTGATTGCAAGTGGCACGATATATTCCACGAAACTACATCTACGTTAAAAATTGATACGGTAGATATACTTATACTTTAGTTTGTTTCACTTCAATATTTCCGAATTAGCTTCTTCCTAAATCCAAAGCACTCGAATTCTAGTTTTCTTCAGATCCTTTATCATAAGATGATCACAGCCATATTAATAATCGCAATCAAATCCTTCGATCTTTTAACTCTATACACTTGAACGAACCCAGTTTCTTCGGACAGAATTTTTCTCAATAAGATGGGCTGCGTCTAACGACTCTCAGGCTCGAGTCTTTTTTAGCTTCAATTGTCAAAAGTCTACCACGAGCAAATCGAGAATGGAAATGACGCTTTAAATGCTCGCGTATTAAATTCGATGAAAATCTCCCTCTACCCCTTCCTTCTCTAAGAAGAGGCGCTTGCGTTGCGTGTTCTACGTCTTTTTGATACGTCACTATCGGAAGTAAACGCGAGAGATTGGATAAGGAAATCGTGCTCGCTAACCGAGCATTGTCCCACTGGATCGTTATTAATTTGAACGGTTGGCTCGTTTGCAAACAAATCGCACGGCTTCACTGTTTCACGCACGAATGCCAACCATTCATTTTCGAATGTTGAACTTCCAGCAAATAGCCTTCGGGGACGTTCCTCTCTGATTTAGTCGATCGATCGTTTCTCACTTCGCAAGATGAAATTCCTTTTAACCGTAAATATTACTAATCTACTATTTGGGATGATGCTTATCACATTAAATATCTCATTATTTTCACATTAATCTCTATCGTCCTATACGACGAAATAATATCACTGCGTTCTTCACTTTTTCTTCTAACTTTAAAAAATTCTCTAATATCTTACGTTTCAATTGAACACGAAACAAAATAGTACACGAAATTTGAAAGTCCTCGTGCCACTTGTGTTTTCTCAGATAATCCCTAGTGTTTAATTATCGCAAACATGAGCCGATAAGAGACGCAAAACGCTTCCGATTTATTGCTCGAGTACACCCAGTCTTACCTTCCGATGGTTGCTCATGAATTAAATCTCTTCAAGACGGTGGTCAGACGATTCACAATTACTTTCAACTGAATACTCTATGTGTGCACATTTATTCCAGCCATTCATCCCGACTTGTACGTTTATGTTACCACAGTGTGGTCGCAACGTGATACCAGAAGCTCGAACGATGGTAGCGAAAGTAGCATTCTCTTAATTACTGTGTGTTCAATCCGGGGCTTATCCAGATTTCGGTGTCGTGCTACCACAGCATGTTTCACGGACGCGATGGATAATAACGATAACCCTGCACGAACACAGTACAATTCTGTGGAATTATTCTGTAGAATTCTCCCCTTATTCCAATCTCTTGTTCCTTTTGCTATTCTTTCTTCTTCTTTTATTCGAAGAAGTATGATCTTCCTATTTTTAATGAACGAATCTCGTGGAGTAGCTTTAAGTTGTCTTGTGATTCATTTTAATACCGACATATCCGCACCAATCGAGTATAATTTTGTAGAATCCACTTGTTCCCGTATTCGAATCTCCCCCTCCTTTTGCTATTTTTCTTCAGGCAAGAGAAATCCTCCGATTTGAAATGAACGAATTTCTTAGGGTACCTATTAGGCTACCTTGTGATTCACTTCAAGAAAGCAACATTCCACCGTGTGAATGATATCTCGATTCGAAACTATCACTGTTTGCAGAACGCGCACTGGAGTTGACTTCCACCACGTAAAATCCAGCAAAACGTGGAGCACGTTTCGCGTGTTAGATGAGGTATGCCAGATAGACGGCGGGGAACTCGTTTGACTTTGATCGCGTTGGCTGAACTGAATGAACCATTCGCCCGTCGACGCTCTTATAAACCGGTTGCTTCGATTAGGTCCCTTTCTCAGCGTGAATCGTGGACGTACCAGAGTCACGATTGCTCCTAACTGGTTCACCTTCGGCTACGGATGCACGAAGATCAGGTTCGACGAAGATCGAGTGGGAAGCTGCGAACTAGGAAACGGGATTCCGTTTCTCTTCTTCCTCGTTTCCGTAAGCGCGGTATTTTCAAAGTTTCACGGAAACCACTTCTCGATGCTGGACCAGTGTTTCGTGTGCACTACACTACAGCGTAGTCTGGGCTTGACGAAGGAAACCTTTTCGCCGGACTCTACGGAGTTGAATGAAATTGGATTTCTTTTTATTGTGGACAAAGTTGAGAATTAAGGTTCGATTAATCATCTCGATACATTCAACGAGGTGTTTCTAACAAAATTGTAATTTGTACCGTCTTATGGGCGAAACGTCTCCTTTGAGATTTTCTATTTTTCTATTATCAGTTTGATCGAAATTAGATTAAACGAGTGATGACATGACGCATCGGTAAGACGGCAAAGAGACGGCCAATCTAATCCATTGAACGATTTCCGTTGAGCGGTGCGTAACCGGTATACGTCGCTGATCTCTACAAGTAATCCGCCATGACGTTGCCACAAGTTATTTTACGAAATAGGATAACATGGGCAAATACACGTCGAAAATGAAATAATCGTCAAACGTGATAGCCTATGATTTGAATGATTGATATGTCTGGCGTTAACGCATCGACACTTTCGAGTGACGATGGATGTATGTTCTTTGAACACGATATGTGTAATCTTGACAGTTCCACCGAAGCGACAAATTCGACACTGTTTGCTCGTCGTGATATATATTCGTCATCGAATGATATAATATAGTTGGTCAGTGATAACATTCTGTAATGAAGTGAAATCATAAAATAATTTCATTACTTTGCAAAAAGTACCTGATGTTTATTCATAAATTGCAGTACTATTCCTTAGCTTTTGTCGATCCTTCCTAAATAAAATGTAACTTAATATCGAATATTCAGTTAAAATTTCACCAGACAGAAAGATAATACTGAAAATAGATAATGTTTGGAAAAAAAACAGTAAAGAAAAATCCAAGAAAAAATCCAAATCCTCTTTGTTACTCCAAAGAGTGTCGAAATTCGTTTGGAATGAGTGTACGTATACGGATTGATCTTACAATCGCGTGGCTTCTCTGAACTCCGCATACAGGTATGTAAACAAGTAAACTGCGGGGACGAAATGATAACACACTTTGATTTACAAAGTATTTAGTAGTACTCGAGATTTTTCTGGAAAAAAAACGTAACAGTATGGCATTACGTAATTCGTATGACAAATCACGAGATGAAATTAAACGTACTCTGCGCTAACTACCGAATGAATAGCAAAAAATTCAAACTCGATGTCTAGATTATAGACAGATAGACAGACAGGCAAGTAGATAATTTGTTCCTTGTAATTTTTTACGTAAGGAAGAACTTTGATGCAGATCATATCGTTTGCAAATCATACAAACATTTTAAAATATATTACTTAACTAACACCAATTCGTTCATTTTGTAAATAACCAGGGAAGAATTTCGACCTTAAAAGTGAAAATAAAAATCATGCAACAGAGAGTTCGTTGTTATATTATTTGATATAAAATCTCGATCAAGAACAAAACACGTTTTATCAAATATTCCGATTACAAATACGAATTTGATGCACGTCGCCGACAGACAACCCTTTTATACTGTTCTTGTTTTCGTGCGTAACAACGCTATCGAATAAAATACCACTATTACACTCACCTTACATATACTATAACTTTTGCCAATCAACTTCTGACAAGAATGTCACCACAACGCGATTCTCGCGCAACTGATTCTCTGGACATTTATCATGGCATTAGCATCGTGAGAGTGTGTTATACGATTCTGACTTGCAACTTTTTACCAGTCGCATTAGCCACGTTGTTTATGTGGACGATTTGCCTAGAAAGAATTAGCGAAGATTACGCTTCGTTCCATGAATATCGAAATCGTTTTGCCAAATCGTTATTTGGCAAAGTAAAATTAATTAATCAGTATTTTGCATAAAGATCCGCGGTCTACTAACGACCGAGTATTTACTAGTTAGCGGCGACATGGAAGAAAAATTATTAGTCATTAGCTACAAAGAATCCTAACCGCAGTTAATATTCTTTAGTTAACTAGTCATGAATGCACGAATGAATAAATTCATATTCATTAGTCATTTTTGCGATTATATTTTGCACGACTTTCGTTCAGACTAGCGGTCCCCGAGTTAGGGGACGTTGTAAAGGGTATGAAAATGCGAATATGTAGTAACATCGGAGGTAATACTATTCGGAATAGCAAAGGAAGTGGCAATGGCAATGACTATGGTAATGTCAACGTCAATGCTACTGCCAGTAATGGTAGAAATGGCCCTGGGCATTACAGTAGGAATAGCAATAATAACGGATACGCGCACATGACTGACATGCAGTCACAAGCAGTAAACCTGTGTCGTTTTAAGAGATAGTCCACGCAATCGGTATAAATAAACCTACACGCTTGCACCGAAGTAAAAATGCAATTTTACATGCTACATTGTGTAGGATTCGAAAGCTTCCCTTGTGACTATAAAATATCGTATAAAAGTAGGCAATTGTTCGTTTCTTCCTTTCTTTAAATAATATCGTAAAAGGGCTTTAGGATTTCGTTTTTTTATTTAATACAAATATATAAATTATGATTATTGTCTAAATCAATGAATGAAACTGAATTTCAAATTAATTCAATTTTCCACTCAGTCGCCAAATGTCTTTCGGTAAAATTAATTTTTCTTTTCGGAGTGGTATCACCCAAAGAGTTTGTCCGACGCACTGGTCCGTGTCCATTGCCTGATTGTTTCGATCGTTTCACCTCTTACCTCTGGTTTTAACGTGACCGAGCGCTGCTGAAATCGCGAGTCACCGAAGCAAAGAATGGTCTGCAGCAGACATAAAAACAGAGGTAGCAGGAAGCCGGGTTCATTCGTCTGACGTCCGATAACCTTGACCCGATATTCGGATAACTGGCCAGCAAGGCTGACGACTAAACTTGACCCATTACATTGAGACTACTTTGTGCTCGTGGTCAGTTGCACGAAGCGATCGTTTTCTGTGGAAGACGACCTAGAACGACCGCTATCCGATTACGTAATACAGGTAGTGAAAGTATAACTGGATCGAATAGGATTAATCCTTCGCGACTATTCCATTGTGCGCAATGGTATAACTTATCTAATATAAATAGTTTTCCAATAATCATGTAATCAAAAATAATTCATTATTTTTATCCATTATTTATTTTTTAAAGCAATTAGTTGTCTGTACGTATAAAACCAATTAATTTTGATCTCGATACGTATCCGAATATCGTATGTAATAACAATGTAAGGTAGTAACGAATGAATTCCTTAAGGAAGAGAATTCTCCAATCGTTGTTAAATCAGTGCAAATTTCCCAATTATCTAATTTGTTGGCAATTTTACGTTTCTGGATTTCCTGGGATTTTTCAGCGCACGAAGAAATAATAACGCAAGCTGAACTGACAATGATCGAGCATTTCCGGCGCAAAGCTTAAAGTCTCTTTCCGCTTCTATCCGCGTTTATTTCTATTAGCTGTCGTCTCTTTCTCCAAACGTTTCTTGCTACTCTTTCTCATGTTTAAACTCATCAACGATACTTTTCAGCAGATACAATTTTTAAGGTGGTTCAGATCGTCTCACAACTTTGAAAACTTAACCTTAATTTTGTTGCCGTTTTATGTGATGCTCCCTGTATACTAGTTCATATATTATACGATGCATCGTAGAAGAAAATTATTTGCGTAAATATTGTATAACATTTACTATTACACATGCGACGCGGAATTGTTAGTATATCCGAATTCTCAATTGCCACATTAATCGGTAATTTCAAACTAGATCTGTAATCTTCAACCATAAATCAATAATTAGTCTCTCAGAGTTAATGGCATCCGGTTATTCATTAATCATCAATTCTGGTTTCTGGTGATTTAGTAATCCCAATGGTGGATTACGTTTCACTCGGTATTACTACAGGCATATGTGTGTAGAATAGAACCGAACAGTTTATCGTTCGAGCGAGAAACCATTAGTATTTGAATTATTTCGAGAATTGACTTTACAAAGTCCTTAAAGAACAACATGTACAAATTTGAATTTGTCTTTTCGTCGGCTACCTGAACCTAAACCTAAACCTAAAAATAAATGCCAATGGCCTCGAAATCTCCTTAAAAAATGACCTAGAGAACAAAATGGTCCCATCGTAGCATGCGCTCTTTGAAACAGTGTAACTTTGCTCTATAGATTCTTTTTATAGATCCAGAAATAACGACGACAATCGAACGTTACCATTTAAATGCTTCACCCTGTGTATTATAAAGCGAACCTGGAAGGTAATCTACATAGGTACGGTGGCCAAGTTGCGGTGGCGAAAGTTAATCCGCGGCTCGCCTTCCGGAACTTCTACAGTTTCAATAGCTCGTAGAATCAATCTGTCCAGCGTACACATTGCGTACTGGTAAATCAAAGTTACATGGTGCATTCTTATCGTCTCGTAATCTACCAGCCGAATGTACGAAATCGTTTAATTTAATTCTACGTTTCACGATAAGAACGAGGAACCATTAATTCTGCGGTATTAACGTTAGCTTCAGCCCGCGTCAAATGTAGCAATTACAACATCGATTTATGATCGACAGACTAAATATTTAATTCAATTACAATGTCACGCACTCGTGTAATCCGCGTGACTGATAATCGTCGTACGCAATTAGTTTGATAATGGATGAAACTCTCGAGTGGATGCAAATTTTTAGTAACGACACCGAGATAAAGAAGATTTCGTTCGCTTCATGGTAGCGTGATGACGGAATAGTACAATTCTATAATACATTCTCGTTTATAAAAAATTACAGTTTGGCTTAATCGTCTTGAAACAACAAAGACATTTCAAGCACGCTTTAACATCGAGGTGTGACGAAGGATAGAAGTGGTAAGCTCCACTTTAATCCTAGCGGAAAACTGTCGATGGTCATGTTCAAAAAACCAACGAGACTCGAATGGTTAGGGGAGTTTTTGCCCTTACGGTGATCACCCCTTGGTAGAAGTCGATAAAACGTAATGATCTCTGATCCTTCTTACCGTACATATGCGTCGACACCATCATCCATCATTCGGTCGCGTTGGCGACGCGTCGAGGACATAACAAGTGACCGTGTTCCTGCAGATTCCAAGGTCCTGACAGACGGACCTGATAAATGGTCTCTACGGTTTAGAAAAAAATATTCCTAATGTCGCAGTTCCTTAAACAAAAACCAGCATTCTGGAGAGCAAGACTCGAAGGTCCGATGCTGTTTTACTCAAAACAGTCACCCAGTGGAAGATACTGAACATTTTTCTCTGCTAAAAGCTTCAGGTAGAGGAGACTGGGGTCTATTATTTGGGACCTTTGATTACCAGACTTGTAAATTATAACGTATTACAGTACAATGCGGTACGGTACAGCGTGATACATTATACAGGGTGTCTCAGGATTAGCGTAAGAACCGGAAATGGGTGGTAGCTGAAACCGAATGGTGTTTCGTTTTTTAATTATTATTGTGTCATTTATTATTTACAAATGAATCCTTCTATTAGCAAATAATATGGCTAACCTCCATGGCAGATTAAGCTTAAAATTGTGTCAAGGTGTTGACTTACCGTACCCTTGAATCACATTATCCTCAATAATCTTTAAAAGGAGGACAACGTCACTGCCATGGTGCTCGTAGTACGTTCAACCTTTATAAATCATAATAATTTTATTGTCAAAAACAGACTACTAGATTATTCCTTTCGACAGTCCTATCGTTCAATCGAATAAAAATTAACTAAACAGTGAATCGAAGAATTAAATTTAGAGCATTCGTATTACTTGCAAGAATTGTTAAGTTCCACGTGAAATCTGGCACCACGAAAGTGTTGGGAAACCCTCTCTCGGGTTATACGTGAATAAATGAAAACAGCGTACGCCTTCAAAATATGTAGTATTCTATATTTATACAGACGGTCGTAAGTTTGCCTATAAATGTTTAGTATTCGAAGAAGGTAACGATCATAATAACATACAACGGTGCTATTACAGCCTCGACGAACAAACTCTCGATATAATCCCTGAGCATGCATTATTTTTCTTTTCTCATTTTAAGTGTCGATCCGTTGTTCGACACCGATGGCATCACTTGAAGGAATCAAGCAACGCGAGTTTCTTGACGAACCTTAACCCTTTCGACCAAGCTGTTTTCTATTCGAATTCTATTCGTTTCTTTTTTAGAAATCAATGGTATTAAACTGTGGTTTTCTCAATATTCATTCGTTTCTTTCGTTACTAATTCGTTATAATTTTTGTTATTAATTTCTTTATATCATAGCTCGGGCACCTCGGGATTGCTAAACCCGTACTGTAGCTATAATCAAACATAGCTACAGCCCCTGAGGGGATTAATTAATAATTTATGGATTAATCCAATTAATTAGAGAATACCCCATCTGTATAAATGTCCCATCGCAAATGATGTTCATTTTTTAACGTATGTTCCTGTGACTCTTGTAATCTGATTAACGGTAACCAAATATACACAGTTTATTCCGAAACTCCTTCTGTATGGTAATAATTATAAATTTAAATACATTTCTTCTGAAGAGATACAATTTTTATTGCGGTCGTGTAGCATTAGAAAACTCCAATGAAAATCTTCTTTCGAAATTACTGGGACGTATGACGTATCGCTAGGGTCGAAAGGGTTAAGTATTACAATGATGTATCGTATCGTACTTGATCCGAAACTTGTTCTTACGTCTATGAAAATCTATGCTAGAGAAATTACTGGTCCTATTGGAGGAATAGAGTAGTATCTACCTGATGTAACCCTAACAAAGTGAAGACGTTGGAGAGAGATAATTGGAAAACTGGACTATACTTGGATCTATCATAGTAAAGAGTAGAATAGTCGAGAAAGATTAACGATAGAGGTAGAGGATTGGATACTCTTAACAATGGGACTTTGCTGTATTCGAAGTATGCTCGATGTATTCAATCAAAAACGACGTGATTATTGGTGAGAGTTCATTTTAGTCCTTTAGTTTATATCGGTTTTTTTTTTTTTGTTGTCTAGAAAACTGTCACGTCCTTGTATAACGGATTCCAATACGCCGTGTGTTCGCTACTTTTGTGTTTCCGTTCTTTCGGTCGTTGAAACAGCGTTCGAGAATCGATAAATGACTTTTTTCTTTATTTTACTTTACCGCGAGGCTGAATTAATTCCACGACTGTCATTTCTACCTCCAGAACGACGTATCGAGGGAAAATGGTTACCGACTGCTTATGGTTTCCACGTGAAAAGACCATCTTTCGATAATAGCTGTCTATCTGGCCATCAAATGATAACGGCAATGTTGATATAAACGGTAAACATTTTATAGAAAACTAAACCAAATGGCAGTATACATTTTCACAGTAAATGGAGAAAATCATTTCAAATATTGAAACGAACGTTTCATGTTCCATCGTATAAAGTTCCATGCTATTATAAAATATGCATTGGTATTTTCGTAATTAACATATTGCTTCTGATTCCCGGTAAACTGCTTTCGATGCGCTTAATTAAGGTTTAATTAAATCGAGAAGAGAATTCGTACGAATAATACATAAACGTAATTAGGATTTATTCCCAATTACAACAAAAAAAAAAAATCAATTTGGAATATTCTATGCAGTTAGTGATTAAATAACCAAGCAATTGGTATTTTAGTCAATTAACATTGTAAAAACTTTATTTTGGCAAAGCCAAGAAAAGTAGAAAATCGGTTGCAGATATAATTTTGGAGTAGAAATGAATATATTGCAACATGGTAATTCGGTCAGTATAACAGTAATATTCGGTTCAGTAATCGTTTAAAAAGTTCATGTTTATGCAATCAATTTCCATAATGACGTTTGCGTACCGCTTTCGTGATTAATCGAGGATCGTGTACTTTCATTTTGGAAGCCACTAATTTTAGATCGATAGCATCTTGTAAGGCCGTTGCACTCGAATGCCAATCGTCCTAAGAATAAACTGGGCTGGCTATGCTCGAGTATTACTACTCTGTACATCATCTGCTTGCATCAAAGCTTTCAACGTGAAGTGCAATTGACTCGGTATTCATAAAGCTATTCATTTCAAAATAGTGGTTATTCCAAAAGGAGCATCGTAATTTCGATATTTAACACTAAACTGCCAAGCTAGTTAATTTGGTCTTTTTATTTCAAACTTCCATCCAGAGTCACTCGATTAATTATCAATACTTTTACAGCAATCTTTGGGGGACGATCTTTGTAAAGAAGAAATAACTTGATCTGTGAATTAGTTTACTTCTCCTCTTTATAATTTGTTTTATTAAAATACAAAATGCTAAATTTCCTTGTAGGAAACTTTTCATTATAAAGAATCGTAAAAAGAACGCACATAAATGTATTGAAAAATAATTCATAGATCACCGCGCAATAAATCTCCGTTTGAAAAACTTCCGTTTCCTCTCTGGCACTTAATGTACCGCAGCGCTTAGGGATTCAGATATCTTCCCTTGTTGAACAAAAAAAAAAAAAAAAAAACGCAGTTAGCATGCAAATTAGAATGGGTTCCTTATGCGACGTTTAATGTGACCTCGTAAAAACCGACTGTAACAAGTACAAACGCCATTAACGTGAAGCATTTCGCATCTTTAAGAATCTAACTATCTCAAATCATTTTCGACTTTCTTTGGCCAGTTGTCGAACAACTAGCTAGCTTTCAATGAATTTTCATCAACGTCGTTTTTGATAGAACGTCTAACGTCTAATTAACGTCTAACAGTTAACAGCACAAGTCCGCAGTAGTGATACGTTAAATATATTTTTGTTCCTCAAGTTACCGCAATACAATTACCGCGATACAATTCCTGGAAAAATAGTTTGCATCATTTGTTTACAGGTCCCATCTGTAAGATGGGGCCCCAACACAATTACAATATTGTATTTGATATCACATTTTATCAATGCAATTATTTTAACTTGTGGTATTTCAGTCTGTATCTATAAGAAAAAACATTTGAATAATTGCAACACAAAAGTGACAATTAAAATTGCGAATAAATGCTCACAATTAAGTTGGTCAATAACATAATACGCTACAATTATTTTGTTTCGAATAAATAATTACATACAGAAATCACTCGTGTATCAATTGAGACAAAGTAATTCGATCCTGAAACGGTTAACAATGGAATGACGAGGACGTGAGTGCTTGCATGGCTGCGTACTAAGCCTCCCGACATGTGAATTGTGCGAGCCGGAAGTCGTACCCTGAAACTTTAATTGCCTGTATGTCGGAAACGAATACTCAGTCTGCAAAGTGGTACAGAACATTTCTATTGGTTTTGGCACGAGCTATGCGAATATTTCAACACGTCCCATAATATTGGCCTACTCCTCCATGTTAGCGCAAACCAATCTCGTTCAACTTTATCCGCTTCCTCTAGTTACATTTACCAGCAAACCGAGAGTATTACTTTCAAAGATATTAGTGTAATATTCTGTCTCTTGATACCGTCATCTTAAACGTTCTTTACAAGTAAAGGATTTTCCAAACAGGGCTTTGGGATTATATATATTTTTTTAATAAGAAAACACACACCTGTTGAAAATATAAAAAGACCTTTAACTGCTTCTTCAATTTTCCTTTCGAATCGAAAATCGTATTATGTTCCACGAAATTTGTGTTTTCTTAAAAATCTTGAAGCCCCTTTTGGAAAATTTGTATTATAAGTAGCTTTAAGATGAGAATATATCAATGTTGAAAACTCTCGAATGAACGCTATGGGTCATCGATACTTTTCAAATAGTCATGGTGTATGACCCATCGCTTTACCTTTACCTTTATCGATTCGAATGCGTATGTAGCAATCCATGCGCCAGTATCAAGCGTATTGCGCTACGCAGTTTACGATAATTAGCGATACCTTGGATGCCGACGTATTAAATTCCAAATTGAACACGGAGCTATTACGATATTCGTAACGAGTATTTGCTTTTCCAATCAAACGGTGTTTATGGATTAATCTAATGTTTCATAGACTTCGCCGCGATCAAACAAAATTTCTGACGAGGGGAAACTTCTTACTTCACATTTATAATTAATGTAAAATATTGCAAGAAAAATTGTGTTCGTTGAACAAAAAAATTATTCTTATTTTTCGGAAGCTTTTGTAGATTTCACTTTAAGACACGATATTTTTGATAATAGAAACTAATAACACGAAAGTTTTTAATTTTAATTCTTAATTAAAATAAAATAGTACGAGAAGCATTTGATTTATTCAATAAAATTATATTCTTTTTCTCTTCTGAGAGCTTGCACTTATCGAATGTTATTTCCATCTTTCATTTATTCAAACTTTATCCTTCTCAATCTCGTTAACGCTATCGATGTTGAAATACTTGTTTACCTAGTACCCGTTCCAGTTGCTTCCTCTTCCTCTGAGCAATCTTAGCCAGTAGCGAGCCTCACCGTTAGTGGAGTAATCTCAATTAAAAAATTCGTTTTACACGCAAGTAGCCTTGTACCCAAACACAACGTCCGAGGTTTTGCTGCAACAAGGCTGATCGAAATGGTAACTCGCGAGTTTCTTCTCCTTCTGTGCGCACTTGGCGAACACTCCCTGCTGCTCCTGCTGGTCCATCGCGGACTTATCCTTCTCAATCTTATCGATGTTACAGAAGCTGGAACGCCTGACGACCTGAGCGGACCGCGTAGTCAACTCGTCTTTCTCCGAGAAATTACAGATGCTGACGCGTCTCTCCCTCAACAGAGACTTCGCCGTGGATAGACTCGGTCTGGCAAGAACATCGGTTCTGTCAAAGTGGTAAGCGCTACCCGTGCGATCCCGCTGCAGAGGCCTGGCGAGGACATCCATCCTGTCAAAGTGGCAAATGCTCCCGCCTCGATCTCTCTGCAGTGGCCGAGCGAGCACGTCCGTTCTATCGAATTGACAAATGCTCATGCCGCGGTCGCGGTGCCACGATTTCTGCGGAGCGTCGTAGTAACAAATGCTCATCCCTCTGTCGCGCGGCGAGGACTTGAACGCGTCGTTCCTCTCCGATTGGCAGACGCTGGTCCTGCGATCGCAAGGCAACAGTTTCGTGGACTCGCTGGCTGGTTTGAGGTTCCTCGACGCGTCTGGATCGCTGTTATCTTGAGGGACGGTCTCGGGAATGAACAAGGACTGCAGATCGAACGCGCTCTTCGTGCGACGGGGAGTCCTCTGGCTGGCTGGTAGCAAGGAAGCGCTGGACCCGATGAAGACGCTGTTTTGCCGCGGACGTGCGTGACCCGTCACGCAGGCCAACTCGTCCCCGCAGAGAACGTTACATTTCGAGTACGTGCGCCGCGTCTGGGAACAGGGAAAGCGATAATTCCTGGGTGAGTTTCGTTTTCAGATGGAGCCTTCCGGAGTAAGAAAACACGCTTGCGAGATTTGTGCTTGGCGTGTTGGCGAAGGTACGTTTACTCGATGCATAAAGATCATTCTATATCGGAAGACAATTTCATGTACGGAGCAAAAAGTTGAAGGTTGTATCTATTATTCGTCGAATAAAAACAACTAGAATTATTAATCGTCGACGAATAACGATTAAATACATTTATTCGAGGGAAACTTCTTCGATGAATAATGGCACTTGTTTATTGCAAGTAAAGTTATTCGACGAATAAGCATACTTCTTTAGTAGACATGTTCGGCGACTGAAAAGTGAACGAAAATACGTATGTATGTGCGTGCTTATTGGTTTATGCGATTATTTCTACGCAATTGCTCTCTAACGTTCAAATCGTATCGGTGCCAGTGACTGTTGCCACGGCTGCTGCAATGATTAATGGAAACGCAGGATAGCTATTGCTGGTCCTGCTATCTCTGTATCATCTATCTATGTCCAGAGTCGACTTATTGTGGTATGATGTTGTTATCATCTACACGATCATCGCTGAATCGTAAATATTCTTCCTTTAAAAATTCAATTTCCTAATTAGATATATAGACGGCATTGGTGCATCGAAGGGAGCATTTATCAAGCGAAAACGTTATTCCGTTTTACACGCTGAAATAATATGGCTTCGTATTTACGAAGCTCTTCATATTTATTTTGCACGGGGTTGATTTGCATGGTCTTGGTAAATCGAGCAGTTCTTTCAACCCTTTAGAAACTGCAAATAACGTAAATTATTGGAATCTAACCTCAGGTTTGTGACCGAGGAAATTTCTGAATTATACGCCCTATTCGTGTTCACCGATGCTCGCATGCTCGTGTGTCATCCAAAGATTTATGTAGCACACATCCCACTTCAGCTGAATGGCGCATACAAACGAAAATGCAGTTCGATGCTCGGGATTTATAACTCAACGTAACACACCCGAACGATTCTTTTTTTACTCTCGTTTCTGTCATAAAATATATTCACAGTAGAAGACAAAAAGTGTTTCCCTTTTGATGTATAGGGTGAAAGCATATTCTTCCTCTTTTTATTTTTAACTTCTTGAAGGATGGATTTTCATTGTTGGAAATTTGGATTCGAACAGAAGTTTATTCCACCTGTGGTATCAACCACGCCGACAGCAAAGAACATTCAAAAAACAGAACACAAGTTTAAGAATGAAAGTTCGGTTGAAAGTCGTTTCGAATACTTTCGCAAGCCACCGAAGAAGAAAAGGTAATCTCGTACCGGCGAGGGAGGATCCTATTGTTGGGTCGTACATTTTCGTCGTCGTCGATGGGAATCGCGGTATCCGGACTCTTAGAGCCGCCAATTTCAGAAACGGTCCGCTACCATTCCAAGGGGGGTCGTATCGGAAAAGGTCTTCGAGGCTACCACCCAACCCCTTGATTGAACATCGTAGAGGTTTCGTGCAAGTGGACCCCTATATAATTTCTCAACGAGTCGCCGATCCAACTAGAAACTGCTGTCTTCTGAACCATAGGATCGAGTGAGGTGATTTCCGTTCCCATTTGTTCCGCGCTCCCATTCTTTCTTCTCCCACGGCTTCCGTCAAAGACGCGGGATCAAAACCAGAGGAAGGCATGGGATCACATAAAGGAACCGTGTCGAGCCAAGGAATCACGAATTCATGAAACATTCTGCATAATGCACAATCCCGTGTATCGCTGGAATCAACAATGAACTGCGAGATGTTTCGCGGAAATATCTGGATGTTTTCTATTCAAGTTTCAACGTACCGTGAATAAAAATTTTAGTTGTACTTTCGTGTTTCTTTATCGTACGATAGTTTTTGAGCAATTGATGTCTCTCCTGTCATTGGTAATCTTGAATATTTCTGTTAAATTTCGATATGACTGTTTTAACCTCTTTTAAATTCATTTAAAATCCGTTCCTCGGGAACGTGGTGCACGTCCCAATATCTTGTATAAAAATTGCAACGAAATTCATCACGATCAAGATACAAAAAGTTGATCTCGAAAAACTGCATTACAGGAGTGATTGAATTGCTTGCAGAAACTGGAGGAAGATCCTCGTTTCTCGTTGCCTGGAAATGGACAGTTTACACTGCGCTGAAGGCACTTTAAGGAGAAAGCAATCTATCAACTCATCGCAACGCAAACAAACAAAAAAACTGTCAATGCAGTGGGCATTTAAATCTTCCTGTGAAACAACAAAACAATTTTTCGACGTGAACGATACTAAAGTGACAGCATAGTTATTCCAAAGGCCCTGACCTTAATCTAACCGAATACATTATGAAGGCATTTGAACGGAGGTAAATATATCTGACAATTTTAGAACCGATAAATCTTCAATTCAAGTAGCACGATTGAAAGATTGCTCTGATATAAACAAAAATCTAATTTGAAACGTAGGTACTGAGAAAGTATGTCAAATAGATTCGAAGAGACCTGATTATATTCTTACATAGTGTAAACGTTTCGTTAATTTGCTTACTCGCTTCGAAATAATTATTTGTTGGTCTGTTAATGAATGATTAAAGAATAAATAATTTCATTAAACATTTATTTTACTCTGGAATATTAAAATGCTGTCGTATGTAAAATAAAGTAAGTATCGCAAATTAATTCAGGATGTGATTGATATTTCCGTTTTAGTGCTTCCCATAAATAATACAGTTTATCCGTACCCTATCAATTTGCTCGATCACTGTACCAAGCTACTAAATTTCTTTCGTAAATCCATACCTGCTTTCCAGTCATACATTTATAAAATCCCATCGCAATCTATACCTATGGCCTTCGCTTACCCTCTCCCCCCCCCCCTCCCCCCCACCGTTACGTATTAATCTTCCTATTCTTCGATAGGTTTTCACCTGCCCGTCAGCTAAATAAATAAGTAAAATGCATAAATAAACATAGTGGCTGGGCTTACCTGAAGTTGATTCGGCTCGATCGTGGTGCAACTCGGTCTGTGCTGTTGCTGGAACTTTGGTTGATACGGTTCCAACATTCTGATCTTTCCCCATCGATTGAAGAACAGAGCGATCGCCGCTGCCCATAGGAGGAGGACCAAAATAACGATCAGAGCCTCCTCAGCTCTGACCACGACCGTTCCTGGCGGTGGAATGCCTGCAACAAAATTTCCCAAGCTGATTAGCCAACCGTAACATTATAAACCTTATAAATTTAATATTGTATCATTTTTAAATTTCGAAAGTTTCAGCCAAAGAGAGTTTAAATTAATCTCACGATTAGGCTCTCTTCGGAACAATAAAGTGAACGTAACATCAATCTACCAAAATTTTAAACGTTCTTTAAATTAAGAAAAATTAAGTACACCGTTAAGTAAACTTAGGATTGAATAAATCTAAAATTTCAATCTAGAGCAAGTGACATTAAATTATCCATGAAAGAACAACACCTAAAAGATTAATTTACTTCTATGCTCGCAAATGAATCTCTCTCTATTCTCTATTCGAAATCGAATTTGTCCTCCACCTAATACCCATTACACGTATCTCACAAATGTCCATTCAAGTCTTCGTGCTCAAAGGGCTAACTCATATGCAAATTAATCTCAGAAACGCAGACGTAGTCACCGCATAAGCGTATACTAAACAATTGTAAACACGTGGTATGCACGCATACACCGTGATACTATGGCATCTGTAAAGGGGAATCAAATGACATGGGTCAGACGCTGTACGCTACCAGAGCTCGTTTACGCAGTTAGCATGCGAATCAGGCGACCACTCTAAAGAGAAGAAAGGCCAGCTAACGTGATAACCGGAAATAGCCGCTGTTCCACTCGCTTTAATCGTCGATACTTCGATTACAAATACGTTCCAAGTTCAATGGTTCCGCAAATGAAATTATCAGACGCAAAAGCGTCATTAACGCACGAACGGAATAAACAGCGACGCCGTGCATTAGGTAATAGATTCTCGAGTAATTATGAAACGAACCGTGCTTTCAATATGCAACACAAATTATGAAACTATTAACGACCATCCCGTATTCGTGGAACGATGCCTAATGATTTTAGTAGCGTGTGGCGAGAATTAGCATATTTGGCTGTCGTTAGAAATCCTTCTCAGAAATTAGTACTCTTATTGTGATTGTATATTAATTCGTAATTAAACTGCACTCGGGACTTTCTGAGCGACATACTTCAACGAAGTGTGCTCATAGAGATGCAAATCCAGTCGCGTTTGCTTAATTAAACGCGGTTCATTGGAGCACGGAAATCTCGTGGCGTTGAGGTGATGGTTCGAAAGGACCATTAATCTCATCGGTCTACTGGCGTTTCACGGTTCGAAACGTCAAAGTAGATGCTGTAAAAAGTTTAAATAACAAAAATAGCTTCCTCGAATTAGTATCGTGTGCCTCCCGAGTTATGAAAGATTCTCAACTCACCATCAGGGTAAGTGGAATTGATTTCGGAGATGACATCCAATTCCGATGGTATCGAACCGATGAGGACGACATCGTCTGGAGCCTCCTCCAGCTCCACCTCGATTTTTGTCACGTGTCCTAAACAAACAAGATCGATGGTTAGCGAAATGTCTGGAGAATTCACAAAAATTCTTCGTACTTAAAGCAGTTATATCTAATACATGATTTTCGAATGTTCACTAATATAGAAAGGAACTTTGTGGCAAACTTTTATTTAATTGACGTTTCGAGTTTAACCTTGGTGCAGCAATACTGAATCACAACCCAGGGAATATTCATTAGGAGACTTCTACGCTTTCACTTTGGATTAGGTACTCTTCAGGGAGTTTCACGTTAATACAAATTAAGGCCACTATATGTTATAGGACTGTGTACGCCAAGCATAACTAGAATTAGTAAACAGAAATTATTTGTAAACGCGCCTGTCTACGAAAGGAATCGTTACGAAATGGCAATGGTAATTTTAATGTGTTAAATTTCAGCACACTATAAGAATTGTTACTTTTTTATTAACTAAATGAAATATTTTAGACGAAAATCTACGAAATCGTTCGTACCATATGTAACGACGTAATAGTAGAGTGGCATCCAATAAATTGATCAATGGCGTTTGCTTAGACACAAGGTTTCGCTCGTTTGAACAAGATTCATGACAGGGTGAGACCTTACGTTCGCCTTACACGTCTACTCTCCGTCATTGTCGCTACTAAACTGTACGATAAATGTTTTCCAGATCACCCCTCCGAATCAAACGGAAAGAGGAAGCGTTAGAAAACAGCCTCCGCAAGGGGATTATAACTCGTGTCACGTTTCCACGCCTCCCTTTGTACATTTTCCAGACAAGTAGCAAAAAGCTAATCTGTCTGTGGATTCACCAGTTCTTTCATCTTCTCTCAACTAATTGCGGCGGATATCCTATACTTCGCACATACCGAAGCAACTAATACTATTTTCTTGTTAGCGGAAACTTCGCGTTGGATTAGTTAATTTGATCATTCCGTGGAACTTCATTACGGAAACTTTCTGTCCCACTTTAATGCAATAATTCAGATTCTATCTTATGCATAAAATAATGGGAGTACCGTTCTATTCTTGGGATTCACACGATGAATTCTTTTATTTTATCAACGTATTTCGAAAGTTCCTTTCTACATGAGATTAGAATTTTAAAGAAAAATTTTAATTAGTCGAGAGATCAATATCAAATTTAATGTCTCTATATATACTCTGAATAATAACTGTAGGGTGTTCTATTTTTGGTCATTCGTCCTATACATTTGGTATGATGTTAATGCACTTACCGCTGTCATTGACGTCCTGATGTTTGTTCGGCGATATTGTGACATGCTGTTTTCTGGATCGATTTCTTCCCTCCACACTGGTAGCGAAAAACCTCCCACGTTTCCCTGAGAACACAAACACGAGAGGTCTTTTTAAAAATACACAGCCATCCTACCGAGAAAGGTATGACGTACAAATTTTTATGGAGTACGCAAATCGATTGGAACGGGTACACAGAAATCTTATCCTCGTAAAACATCCTGTATGGCGGCTGTGCAATATTCAAATCACCCAGAATGTTCATCTTCAGAAATTTATAAATGCGATGTAATTTAATAAAGTAACTGTACCGAATTACTTAAACGACGTAATCAATTTAATGTGAAGCATATTGTTAATATAAAATCGCATCTTGTTGTCAGAAACGTCTATTCGCAACAACCGCAGCTAGTCACAGTTGGCATATAGTCCACATCAGGTTTCTAGTTTCGTTACTAAACGAAGCCATATCGCGTTCATAATTCCTTTGCACTTCTCTTATCGAATACTTCCTTCTGACATCGTTGCTTCCGAACCATTGCTATACAAATGAGATTTGTAACGCTACGTCAATACAATTTCCTCCTCCGACAACAGCGCGTTTAAAGAAAAGGGTTCGCCGCTAAAAGGGAGCACATTGCTTCCTTAATAAAAAAAAAAAAAAAAATACTTTCTAAACATTTTGAGCTTGAAATATCAATTATTAGAAAAGGTTATAAAGTAGATAATCTCGATAAATTTCTTGGTGGCTTGTTAAGATTTGTCTGTACTGTAAATTCACCAACAGATGGTTTCTGCTAGAACCATTAATTGGATACTAAGATTCGACTTAAAGTATCGTAAAGCTAGAGTCGCATAAATTCTAGTAGCGTCTAAGGTAAGGTCTGCTGGGTCAGCGTTAATGGCGAATCCACCAACAAAACCTAGACGAAACGGTAATTCCGTTTTATTACTTATTTTCACGATAGAAGTTTTATCGCTAGCCTCACCTTAGCAGAACTATTACTTATTTTTACTTTACCAGTTTTATTACCGTTAATTTAGTTTTCTTCTTATTGGTTCGTTCATGTTATTTCTAGATTCTTTAATTTGTACTTGTTACGAAACTGTCGTTTCTAGTCGAGCTTGCTGGGTAAAAACCATTTGCTTTCGTTTAATTTTTAAGTAAAATAAAGTGTTTAATTGTAGAGAATATTCCAACATATATCGTAGCATTTATCTAATCAAGTGGAACCAAAGGATCCTTTACGTTTGGAAAGGAAACAGCGCGCCTTGGTGTAGTTTATAAATGTAGTTAGAGGATTCTTGATTTCTTGGTGATTTCGATAAGAGACCCAAACAACTCTATTAGCCGCGAAAAGGAACGCCTGAAGCAGAAACCGAAGGTTTCGAATTTCCAGGGAGGAGACTCGCTCGGCACTAAAAGCTCGGTAGACAGCGGATAAAGAGTGGGAAATTTGTGCGGTAGAAGGACGAAGAAAAGATAATTACATCAAGACGTCGTCAGGCTCTTCTATTCACCCGACATACCTCTTTATCCTTCGCGCAGAACAGAAACGTTCTATTGTACATCGAGATCGTCTCATGTCAAAGTGTCACGTGTGTCAATGAAATGAAATGAAACGATTCTTTATGATACACTTCCAATAATTCTGTTAAATACAACGGGCTGAAGTAAAATGTCAGGACCGAAATGAAACGAAATTCGACAATTATTTGCAATCTGAGTCGCGAACAAATCAGTGTAAATTATCGTGCAACTGCCTTTTTACCTACGCCCGATTTTCGTCCAAACATGCAATCGCATTTCCTGATATCAGAACAACACGGAAATGCAAACTGCAAATTGCAAGTGCAAGAAGATCTCTTCGAAGTCATCTCGAAAACAACTTTCGGGATTCGGAGAACGAAAGTTTCTAACACGTGTGTTTCGAAGACGACCTTCGCGAATATACGTATATATGTAATTTTCGGCCCCTGTTAATCCTACGATAACGTACCACTACTGCATTGTTAAGAAAAGTGACGGTGGGGTGGGGTTCATGGCAGAAACGTGACTTGTTCGTTATTTTGAAGAATCAGTGTGCTCGTGCTTCGTCCTGTCCTACGTAGTTTAAATTCGGCACTCTTATAGATAGGAACGCTTTGAATTCTAATTAAGGCTTGGAGGGATCGGAGTTCGTTCCCGACTGTCAATATCGATTGACGTGTTGTAAATTCACGTTAACGCCACCGTTGGGATGGATGTTTCCTCCTTAAGATAATTCTCTATTCTTTCCATATCTTTTTGTTCCTCTTAAAGCGCCCAAAGCGTCCCTTGCAACAAAGGCTTTCCACGAAAGCAATTAATCATCCAATCATGCACTAGCTTTATCTTCTCGACTATTACTGCAAAGCATCCTGTAGGACAAGGTTCTTTAACTTTTTTCATTCCTCGACATTTTTCATACGATGAAATTAGAAAGTTCGACAAAGGAAGTTTGCTTGTGTCGGAATTGCATAAAACTTGCATACAATTTAATAATAAGAATATAGATCATTAGAAATAATATTATTCTTCTAACGTACTCCCTACAATTTGATTTGATGATTAAATCTGATGAAATTTAAATTCGAGAGGGATTTTAAATAACTCGTAAAGGTCAAAATCTGGAGGAATCGTCCTAGGGTTACGACGTTCAACGTTTGCAAATTATAAATCTAAGCCGGCGGTAATTGAAGTCGGATCAATGTTCCGACAACCATGAGGGCGTTTTAGAGTTAGAGATGCAATCTCTCACGAACGCTGAGATTGCTGAAGTTGAGGTCAGCAGCTTCCAGATTATAAAACAGACAGCATGACGCCGCATACGCTAGCTAATCTTTTTTCCGCGCGTATCCTAGTACTTTTTAAATCTTTGAGCTTTTTTTTTTTTTTAGTTATATAAATTTTAATCAGAAAAGTATGCTCACACCCAGAATCAGAAATTATGTAAAACTTGATTGATGTTTATCAAAGGAATAAACTAGAAATTTCTAGGGCCAGTAGAGACTCCAAAAAACTTGGAAAGAACTGACTATTACGATAAACTTTCTTCAGGTTCGATAAAATAATAATCACGACCCATTATAAACATTAAAGATTTGTGTAACTCATCGCTAGTAATAAAGTTCGTCTCCCCCATGAAATATTCATAAAATCAAATGACCACGACTGCGGTCATTTTGAATGGTAAAAACACGCAAACGAACGAGGTTGAATTAAACATTTTGCTCGAACAAAGCGCCCCCTCGTAAAATATTAATCAACCAGTGGTGAAATTTTAATGAATTCATAAAGCTTTAATAAATGGGGTTTATGGCACCGTTCATTATGAACCGAACGATAGTGTTTCCCCTCGATTGTTCTCGTGAAAAGGATATTTGTCACGAGTTTCAGGGCTGAATTTACAATTCTACGTCGATGGACATTTGTTGACCTTTTCAAGTGATACCGTTTCGGTATTAAAAAGGATATTTGTTTTATACATATTATTACAACCAATCGTATTATTCTAATAATATACAAAAATTGAACAACAAGGTTTCACCGTCAGCTCTTTCAAAGCGAATTTATCGTCGCGGGTAGTAAAAATGAGATTCGACCTTCCCCTCCCCCTCCCCCCCTGTTCAGACGAACAGGAAAATAGTATTTCTCGACAATACTAGAATTGGCGCCAGGCAGGAAACTGTTACCTCGAACAATTTTGATAGACGCGAATTCGTTTTGACGAAGCAATTCGCGACGAGATATAAAAACATTTCTTTTTCTACACCCGTATCACGCTGCAGATGAAAAGTCGCGAACTGAAGAGTTGAAAACCTGCCAGCACGAGATACGTATTTTTCTTCGCGAACTCAGCGACAAATACGAGCGTGATCGGTCGTTACGTTTATTGCAAAAATATGCGACAACTGTCAAAATATACTCTGGTGTATTTAACCTTATTGCGAGACGAATTCCAAACTTTGAACATTTTACAACGAAAATTTTATATCGTTCATTTTATTTACGGTACAACACAGCAGTGTAGACTGTATAGAGTAGTCTAGAAATTGTGTTTACTGTATCACGAATAACTTGAACAATACGAGCGATATTTCTTTTCAGCCAGAGAAAAACGGCGGGAAAGTTAAATTAACGGGCACCCTCAGGTATGAAAACGTATCTTTGCACGACGTTCGCAGAAATTCAACGTTGTCGCTCGCAGACAGTTTCGCAAGTTGTAAAGTCATAAAGTACATGAATATGAAAGACACGCGGTGAACGCTGGCACGTAACTGTCTCCAATTAAGTACTTCCATTGCACGAAACTGTAAACGAAAATTCGAATATTACGAGCATAAACAGAGACGCGCATCCGTTTGTTTTAAAGCGATGTATTCCTCTGTTTCATTCGCTAGTGCGATGCGGATAATTAATTTGCAAACCGTTAATTTCTATAGCGAAACATGGACTGTTGAAAGCGTTTCTGCATGTCTGACATTAATCACGAAAGATAAGAAATATATATATTCTATATAATTATAAATAAGGTACATATAGTAAAGATAGAAAACATATATAAATATATATTTTATTCCTAGTGTTTGTTGCAAAATTATCGTGATGCTATAACAACGATTATATCAAATAAAATTATGTATATTTGTCCTATTAACGGCTAAAGACTCACTTCCAAGTTATATTTGTTTTTAATTGATGGAAAAGTTTAGCGGTCTGAATTTGTTCTGTGTGAATTATAATTTCATTTTCAGCTGGGTTGTAATCTCGCCGAAATTTTGATTTGTTCGCGACTCGTTCTAGAAGTTAACCAAACGAACAACGGAGACACAGAGAAGCGATAAATTTTCATAACCAGCGGAAAAGGAACTTTCGAGCGATCTGTTAATACGTGCCATTCATTTCCATGGAAGGTTTAAAAGGAACAGGAATGACGGCGATTAAAATCGTAATATTTTCTATCTTCCTTTGTTTCGAGATATAAAAGGTTTAACGTTTCAATTGGCGACGATAAAGAACCAAAGCTTCTGAAGTAATTCTTCTTTTTTATTCCCTTATATTTAT